CGGACGTGTCGCGCGGAATCGACATATAGCTACAATTAATTTTGTGTTATTTATTTCTGTGTTTGTTATATCTGCGGAGACTTGAGAGACTCTACTATGTCATCTAAACGAAGTAAAACTGATTTTTCTGCATCAAACAAGAAAAGAAAAACTTTATATTTGGAATGTAAAGTTAACATTGGGTATGTTCATAAAGTCGAACGAATTAAACGAGAATGACGTCATTGTTATTCTTATTTCGTTAGACTTTTCGAACGATTCGTTACTAACCTCGTTTAACTCGTTTGACTTTACAAACGTACCCCATTATTGAAGAGTTCGATACAAAAATGAAAATTTGTGAATTGGCAAAGAAGTTTTATCTACCGGAATTGTCGGTCAGAACAATTATAAAAGGCAAAGAAAAAATTCTCGAAGCTGTGAAAAATGCTCAACTTTAAATTCAAGCATTCATAAACGTCACGGTATTATCACTGAGATGAAAACAATGCTAAAATTATGGTGTGATAATCAAGTAATGTGAAAAATTGTATAATAATATAATTTGTTATATATATGTATTATATAAGATTTTATTAAACATTTTTTTCTAAATTATTGTTTTAATTAGTCTCCCGCCCCAATTAAAAATTATTTGTATGTATTTATATGAAAAATTATACCCCGACTTACGCGGTTATCGCTAAGTCCCATCTATCGCGTAAGTTTGAGGTATTACTGTACAATTAAATTAAAATTATTAAATTAAATCAATCTAAAATGTAAACAATCAACGTCCCCCCTCAGTGGGCTGCGGTAAAATTATCAAACTTTTGACCGGTCCGCGGCGATAAAAAGGTTGGGGACCGCTGGTCTAGACAATGCAGCTCCCAAGATCGATCATTTGGATTGGAGTCGGATTTTCCATTGTTTGAAATGAAAATAAATACACTTGAGGAGAAAAGGCTAAAACTACATTAATATAATAGTTTTTGTGTTTTGTGAATTGTAATTCATTTTTTATTTTCTAATTATCTGTATTTTGAAAAAAGAGGATTAATACTAAGAAGTTTCTCTGTATTTTGATTGTCCATTTTGTAAAAAAATAAAAAGATTTTACAATAAATTAGATGCATTTGTTAGAGAAGCTATAGTATAAACTTACACCTATTCCTCTTTATGTACAATCATTGATTTTTTTACGTAGGAAAAATGCTTTATTTAAAAATTTTTAAATTTAACTTTTTGTTAAAATTATGTTGCTGTTTAAAAAAAGTTACTCTTTTTGTTGAAAGATTGGTTTTAAAATTATGTGTTTCTAAGTCAAGAGTTCATTTTAAGCACAGTACAGTACTATTTGTTTATCAAAGAATAATTTTTGTTGATTTTATGTTACCTTGTATTTACTAGATTTACATACAAATAATAATGATAAATGATGATAAAATAAAAAGCCTGTGTTTTGTTTGTAAATTGCTTATTTTTTCATTACATTGAAGTTGTGGATTCTATCAAACATTTTTCTACAGGATGTATGTACTGTATTTTTTTAATGTGGCAGTCTTTGAAGCATGTGCAAAAGGAGGGCTAGATGTACTCAATGTTCACAGTAAATGCTGTTTTATTATGTCGATATTCCACATTAAAAAATGTGAGGGTCAGGGAATTTGGACAGAGTTGGTCAGGGAATTCAAAACAAAAATTTGAGTAGGAACCCTGAATATAGTAAATTGTATATTATATATTTGTAGAAAGGTTGTTGACGATTTGTTCATGACATTAGATGGAATCAGATGCTGTTCTTCATCACTGTTGTTCTCTTTGCTATCTTGTTTAGCATCCATTTCATTGGATGGGATTTACTTGTTATCAGTATCCAGTAGATTGTGAATATCATTTGTATGTATCTTCACCTTCAAATTTATTTTCTGAAATATTTGCCAATATATTCATGATTTCATCTCCAATAAGCAGAAGGTAATCAAATCTATCATTTATTTTTGTATACACACTGTGTGAATAATTCCAAGGAGACTGAAACAAAAAGTTGTTCTAAAAAAGGCAGAGAAATTACAAAAATGACTAGCAGAAACATTAATATAGAAGTGTTAATATTCACAAGTTATAAATAGACATATGAAGCAAAAGTGAAAAAAGGTAATAAAACAAAGGAATAAATCAGTATCAAAATGACTACTTTTCATGATAAGTAGAGAACTTTATATCTCAGGACCCCTTGTTTATATCAAGATAAAAATATAAAAGTTGGTGGTAATGCAAAACATTTAAATTCAGGAAAAGTCAAATTTCAGCTTCCTGTGGGCGAGTAAGTAAAACACAAGCAGTCAAAATGACCACTGTTGCAGTTCTAGTTTTAAAACCATCTTTAGTTAAGAGCAGTTTTAAAAAAAAAAAAAAGATGGCTCTAAGTGAGCTGAAAATATTTTTAACTAAAGAATATATGTTTAGTATAACCTAATGCATTCTCTCAACAATAAGTAAAATAATAATGTATAAAAAATTTACCACAATTTTTCTATAAATTTTAATTTGAAAGAATAATAGAATATTTGAGTCACAATTGTAAACTATATTAAGATTTTTACATTTAGTTTGTTCACTTATTTTTTATAATTTTATCAATAATAGTCATTAAATGTTATTTAAATTCATATGAATTAATAATTACGTAATTTTTAAGATTTATATTAAGCTTAATGTGTGTTCTTTTGGCATATTCTGTGATTCATTAAGAACTATCAAATTTATTAAAAGTTTTGAATGGAATTTTTTCGTATTTCATAAAAATTTTATTAAATTAATGGAAAAAATATTTGTTATCATGTTTCTCATGCTGAAATAATTTGATAGCTTAAATACTCATTTTTAAATTTTACAAAAATGTAATGTTTCTCTCTGTCAGATATAATTGTTGATATCATTTGATGGCACATATTAAGAATAATATAACAATTCAGACTTGGGCTTTTCCCCATATTTTGCTTAAAATCGATTATTATATATTTGCCAATTGTGTAATGTGATTACTCTCTTAAATTTAATATTTGAAAAATTATTACTGAAACTAATTATATTAAACAAAATTGTGTGTGAAAATTTTATATACTGACAATATTTTCATTCATATAAAAGTTTTAAACATTTTAAAATTTCAAGAGCATTAGGATATCATAAATATACAGTTCAAAATTATTCAAAATTACACATTGAAATAATTTATCTTTGATTTTTCTTTACACTTTTATGTAAAAATTGATATTCTTTAAATTGTAGTAAATTTTGAGAATTTATACAAGTTTTGTTGTTTAGTTTTTAATACATGTATTAATCTCTACAAAATATTTGATAATTATAATTTGAACTGCAAATTTTGATATCTTTCAGTATTTATTATTATTATTGCTTTTACAACACATTGCATATATGAAAGTTATATTTTATAGGCACACATTTAAAAAATTTTGCTTTTACAAAATATAAATTGCAGCATTTATCTGTACATAATTCGTATGTAAAAAAGATTATTCATTTGCAGGATTTCTTTTTAAGATGATTATTTACTTTAAAAAATTAAAGGAGTATTATAAAATATACATTTTGAATGACAAAGAAATTTAGTAATGTTATTGTTAGTATTTAAAATGATTATAAAAATATTGATATGTTGATTGAATGTTATAATAATGATTATGTTAAAATATAAAATTGTCATTTTATCATTTTGTGTTTAGGAAAAGTTATAAAATTCATATACTGATACATATTAATAAACATATTTAATATTTTAATTTTTTTATATAATGATATTTATTTATTTTTATGATGCATATAATTATCAATACAAATATCTATCCTTGTTCCTATATTTCCATTAAATTAGAGGAAAACTTTTAAAAATATGTTACAAAATGAACATATTGGCCCAATTTATAGAAAATAAATTCATGTATTTACTGATTAAAATAAAGATTTACAAAGTCATGAATATGCAGATGAGTATAAAATGCAATATGCAATGTGTTAATATCTTCCATAATTTTTAATTATTTCAATATTTAAATGCTTTTTTTAGCCAATATTCACACTGTAAACATGTTCCATTTTAAAAGAATTTCTAGGGAATAAATTATTTATTAAAATTTTTGATATCACTTTTGAAAACAAAATTGCAAATAATGCTTCTATGAGTTGAGTGTAGTTGTGAAAATATTTACTGTACTATTTGTGTAGAAATTTGGACATAAATTATCATTAATAAAAACATTATAGATTGTTTCATATATCTTGGCTGCATAATGCACAGTACTTGCAGTTGAGGCTCTGGAAATTTTAAAAAATTCAAGAGTTTCTTTTTGATAATGTACAGTAGCCAAGTGACTGAGCAACAGTAGTTGGTTGCAGGTTTATGCCTCACCAATAGGCTAGCTACATGGAGTTTTCTGGGTTTTATTCATATGCCTAACACCTAACTATGGGCCAGTTTCTCATAGAAAGTCCTCCCAGAAGGCAAGCTCTCTTGAAGTGCATGCCATCTCTCATCATTCCCAAATTTTTAAAACCCTGGCAAGATCAGTGAAATGAGATGAGCCATATTTCATAAAATACATGTGGTAAAATCCTCTTGAGGTTTTAGAAAACTTTGTTAAAGTATCTTTTAAAATGGAATGAAATAAATTGATATTATGATGTACAAAAAAATTAAATTTAAATATATGAATGCTTTATTAAATTTCAAAATTTTTTAAGCTCTGCTAATCTTCAGATTAATAATTTAATTGCCATTTTCTCTGACTATTGCTTTCTTTCCTGCTGCTATTGTTCAGCATTGGCTTGGTGTGTTCTCAGGAAAAGGATTGATTGTAGGTGAATTTTTCATTTGTTACTTCACTTAATATTTTTATTTCTTATCCACAGATGATTTTCTCTTATAGAAACATGGGGTTTTGTGTTTATTTGTTTTGTTTTGTTCATTCTGTTATGTTGTTCTGTTCTGTTTTTAGCATATCCTGAAAATAAATGGAGTTTTGGTATACCAGAAATTTTATTATCTTTAAAAACTGGGAATTTTAGTGCTATATTTAACCATCTTGCTAACTTTGGTAAGTTAAGAATTAAACTAAAAAATTATTTAATTAATTTCCTTTTTTTATTTTAGTTATTTATTTTATATATTGTTTTGTTACAAGTGAAAAATTAAATTTTATTTTAAAAAAATTATTATGGGGGAAAAAATAATTTTCATAATTAATCAATTGAAATATACTTAAACATTAATTTGCTATGGATTTTAGTTTAAGAATAATTTACAAAGTTTATCTTGCATGTTATTTTTAAGTTTTATTATAGAATAAAAAACTAATAAAATATCCAATTCTAAATGTATATAATAACTTTTAAAAATCATTCTACATGATGTAGTTACTATAAAAAGTCATTAAGATGTTGAATTTTTATTAATGTCTTTTTCATGCTGGAATATGTGCACAAAAAAAAATCCTTTTTTGTGGATAACATATGAAGAATTCTTTGTGTGATACCCATAGATTTATATGTTTTAATACAAAGAAAAATTAATGATGATGATTAGTTTTTAATGTATTTTTAGCATATTTAAAGTAGATTTTTCTTAATTGGTTTTCTAGATTAATTTTAAACATACTATTAAATTTTTCTTTGAATTATTTTCTGTATTCTGTAAAACTGTTTACTATTGTTAAATAATAATTTAATAAATAGGAAAAAGAAAAAAATCAGTTGATATCTAACTTACCTATCAGTAATATTTTAATAAGTTAGAATATTTTTAGAAATTTTTTGATGCTTTATATTTTCTTACAAAGTTAAAGAAATTATCAGTTTTACTGAATAGTCAGTTGTGTGTAAAGTATATAATAATTTTAAATCTAAATTTTATTACCAAATATATTACAGATTCCAACTGATTCAGTTTATAATTATTAGAATGATGATGCAGGATATTGTATCCAATTATAACAAGAAAAAATATTAATGAACAATGCCAAAATTCAATTGAAATTATCCTTCATATATGTTATATGAATACAGTATATTAAACAAGCTGAAGTCCTATATATATATATATATATACGTAGCCAAACAATTGAGTATTTAAGGCAATTGTTTGGCTATGTATCTGTATTGTATGAAATTGAGAAGCAATTCTGCTTAATGTCTAGAGGCTATTTAACAAGAATTTAGAACAGGATATAACATTTAAAAGGAAAAATTGAATTCTAGAAACATTAAAAAAGAATTGTTGCATTCTGTCTAATAAGGAAAACAAAGTTTTCTTTAAAAACTTTTTCATTGTGATAAAAGAAAGCCCCTTACTACATTGTTTTCTAACAAACTCAACTGTCAGATTAATTAAATTTGTTAATGAACTCTCTTGCATTTCATTAAACTAAAATCTAAGTTAGGCAGGGAGATTTTGCTCAATTAATGTTATATTTACTATTCCAAAGTATTTATTAAAGTTTAGAAGTGTGAATTAATAAAATTAATAATATAGTTATATATATATATATAATATTGTTGTATATATTTTCATATATATGTTAAAATTTGTATTAGAAACAATATAAATACAAATCTTCAGAGAAATATAAAGACAGAAGGATGTAAGACTTTACAAGCAGAATTGCTCATAACTTGATGCTGCTCTTATTACTATAAAAACTGTGAAAGACAGAAATTTTATGTGATTAAAATACTTGAATATAAATTGTTACTACAGTCTTAATCAGACTATTTTACTTGTCAATTTTTTTTATGTTGAATTTTTAAGAATAATTGTCTACTTAAAAATCATGGCTCATTTAGATGGCAAATAATATAATTATTGTTAATTTTTCTGTGTAGCTGTGAGAAAAAAAATCAAAAATATCTGATCACAAAATGTTGCCAAGTGAATTATTAAGAGAAAATAAAATATGATGGAAGCAATTTCTTTTTCCTGTTTATTAGCTTAATTCTTTCATATTGAAAAAATTTAATCAAATGTTTTAATTTACTTGTATTTTCTTTTATATGATTAAAGTTATGAAAAGGAAAAAGTATCAGTTTGTAGTTAATTTTAACTTAATTTTCTGTTTAACTAATAAAAAGTATTTGTGTAGTAAAATTCTTGATAAATTAATCAATTTTTTTTTATTAAGAGAGTAATTTCTTTAATGAAAATTATAAATTTTCCAGTTATGTCAAAGATTTATATTGCTTTTAATAATAATCAATATCTCAAATGACATTTTAAATATATTTAATTGAAAGTTTATGAAGTAATTTAATATAAATTGAGTTAGTTTGGCCTTAATTAGTTAGTTTATTGCAGATATATCGACTCTTGCATTAGAGGGTGAATCGTCAAATAGTCGAAAGGAGTCTTGGGACAAAAAAACAAAGAAAACTCCAGATCTTCCAGTTTTAAGACCAATGCCTATTTCTTTAATATATGATGTCAAGTAACTAATATCTAAAAATATTATTATGTTTTAATTTATCATGAATAAAAAGTAAAATGTAATTATTATTTTTTCAAGAAATGTCCAGACAATGACTGAAATGAAAACAGACATTGGTTATGCGAGAGCATGGGTGAGACTAGCATTAGAGAAGAAATTACTCTCTAAGCACTTGAAGAAGTTATTAAGTAATCAAGAAGTACTCAGGTACATAAAATTTTTGTGTATGCATAGAAGCAAATTTAAAAATAAATTTATTAACTTATTTCTAATTAAATTATTAAGGAGTTTGTACAAACGCTATGCCTTTCTTCGCTGTGATGATGAAAAAGAGCAATTTTTATACCACTTGTTAACATTAAATGCAGTTGATTATCGTTGTTTTACAAACACATTTACGTCAACTAGTAAGTTTGCAATATTTTATACAATCAATACAATCAATAATTGTATGATGTATATTATATGCGTATATTTATAACATAGTAATGCCATATCGCATTGTGATATTTCCAAGTCGTAAATTGAATGCGTCTACCACTTCTGCAAATGTGTGGATCATGCTATCTGGCACATTAGGAGAAACAGGAATTATTAATTTACCAAGACAAACATTAGAAATTGTTTCACAAGTAAGTTTATTCTGTCATTTATGTGAACATTTTCTCACAAGAAAAAACTATGAATAGAGGATGCTAATTTATATAATTTGTTTATTGTTGCTTAGGAAAAGAATCTTGGTATATTAACAACTTTAAGAATTGGGCATGATAACACTGGTATTTATCCAAAATGGATGGTTGAAAATGTTTTGGTACGGAATGAAGTGACAGGTCATACCTATAAGTAAGTAACTGATATGTTTTAATTGATTTTTTTTATTATAAAACGACTCTAATAAATTGTTAGAGATGGATTAATTATAAGCTTTTAAAATATTTAAAAACAATCTTTTTATAGATTTCCATGTGGAAGATGGTTAGGTAAGGGTGTCGATGATGGAAGCACAGAACGTCTTCTAGTTGGGGAAATTGTTCCAGGAGATGTAGATGCTGAAGGTAATGTTAGATATTTTATTTTTTGTAATCTATTGTTCACTGATTGTCAAAGGATGTTTGAGTAACACTTTTCTTTCTTTATCATAAATAGTTTTCTTTAGAACTATTTGTTGAGAGGCCATGCAATAAATTATCAGCTTAATCATGAAGAATCTAGGTTGAATACGGGAAACAAGAAACAATATTTTGTAATTCAGGATATTGTTTTTTATTCTTTATTCAAGCTAGCAACCCTTCTATGATTATGGCCACTTTTGGTCTAATTGAGAATGGAAGCTAAATATATACTACTAGATTTTGATAATCAAAGAATATTTATTAAGTAACATTTTTTAGGTCAATATTGGATTTTCAGCTTATGAAATTGTTTCAAGGTTATAAAAAGTACAAAAATTTAAAATACAAATTAAGATTTTTAGATATGGAAGATTTTACAATATATATATATATATATATATNAAACTCTTCCATATCTAAAAATCTTAATATATAATATATATATATAAAAGTTCAGTAAGAAATTTAATAAGTGAGATAACTGAAGTATATTAGTGTTTAACAAACTATATTGTTCCAAATAACCAGTATGGTCATTTTATGGTGGCCATCATTAACAGCTTAGTAAATTTTAATAACAAAATAACTTAGTTATTTTTATGATCAGTGATTGATATTGCACCAGTATCTTTCACAAACATACCATTTTCTTTTACCTTCACTGATGCTTATATGACATTAGCAGATATTATTTTTTAAACTGGGCAATGCAAGGTATAAGGACAAATATTAAAATTAAAACCATATTAAAAGATTGTTTGTTTGTTTATTTTAGGTCAACCCAAATCAACAGCATTGTTTTTGTACAGTTCCAAATCCAAAATTAAAAATTTGTAGTTTTTTTAAATTATAAGTTCTTTTGAGCCATTATTTAGATAGATCTAGGATTCTTTAGATTATTTGCAACCACTATATACAAGTGTGATCCTGATTTGTAATTTCAATTTATTTTTAAAAACACTGTTCCATTTTTGAATTTATATAAGCTGAAGTTCTAAAATGTCAAAATTACCGTGTAATTCTGATAAATAAATTCATTTATTAAATGCTCTTTTATCCTACAATATGCTGATGCATGATTTGGTCATTTTCAAGAATATAATTGAGCTTATGAGATGTATACAATTCAGCTAAATAGTTTATAGTTGCTAGCCTCATATTAATCAATTAATCTTTAGAACTATTAGTTAAAAGAAAAAATGACTATACAAAGAAATAAAAATTTACATCAGAAAATTAAGCATGACTTAAATTTCATTTTTATCATTTAGAATTAATGGAAACTTGCAGAACACCACCTAGATGTTGTTCACCAAGTGTTCCTCGAAGACCAAGTCAACCAAGTGAGTTATATTGTCATAATTATAAGGTTTACAAACAGATGATTTTATAACAACAAACATTTTTCAGAACTAACTGTTCCAGAAATTCAACAGATGCTTGGAGATGCTGTTAATAATATTGTTAAATTTTATTATAAACCAGAGAAAGAAGTAAGTGGATTATAAATATGATTTTTCTTACTTTGAAAAAATTTTGCCACTATACTTAATTATAAAGGATGCATAGTAAAATCCTAAGTCTCCCAAATAATTTCAGTTTTTCATGTCTTTATTATAACATTTTATCTTAGTGTGATACCCCTTGTAACTAACAATCAACTTTTATACAAAATAATTTAATTATTAAGCTTATAATACAATTGCCATTATTTTCAGCCTTTAACTTAAATTTATATTCATCATCATCAGTAACTTAATTGAATTTCTCCAAACCTGAAGAAAATTACAATCTTTGAACAGATATAATTGTGTATATGAAAATATGTAATTACAATTGCACAAAAGACAACCCTTGAATCGTTTTCTAGAGATGTTATTTAACCAAATTATAGCCATTTTATGTTTATCAATTATTGATTTAATTTCACCCAAAAAAGACATAATCCTAGAATTTTTTGCACCGAAAAGTTGCACCTCTACTTTATCATACGCTGCAACATTATGGGAATGTTATATTAGCCAAGTACCTTCACCAATTTCTGTTTAAAAAAGAACTGGCTAATCCATTACACTTGTAGTCAGTATTTTCCACCAGGTTTTAACTCTGGGGAGTATAAAAACTGTCTTTTTTAATCTCCTTCAAAGTAATTCCAGAATCCACTTATTACTCCAAATTATTAAGAATGAATAATAATTTAGTACTACTTTGAAAACAAAAGTTAAAGTTACTTTTCCTATTTCCTATACTACAACATAGCTACATAGATCTCTGTCCTAAAACAAACTTTATAGATATCCAAATGAAATATTTATTGTTAACATCTCATATCTGACCAGTGTGTCAAATATCTTCATATATGAGTATATAGAAATCTTGGATTTGCTTGATATAACACTGTTTACAATTTGACACACACTATATTAGAAGTAGCTTATAGACTTGCTATTAAATCTTAACGTCATACCTAAATATTTATGATACTTTTCACTTTTCTTTCTTAGAACAAGTACCTCTATTTTTAAAGACTAATGCTGGAGAGACCAAGTGATAAAGATGTAAAAAAATAAACTAAAAGCTTTTCTTTTAAATCTGAGCTACAATATTGATACCTTTCTATAATTCACTAGCTGAATTTGCCAAAACAATGTTATCATCTGCATACAACAAACATTTTATCACTGGATTTATTAATTGAATACCATAAAAATCTTGTGCTTTATTTAGTGCATCTCTTAAAGGCAAAAAGAACTGGGCTCAGAATATAGCCCTGATGAGTTCCTCTTGTACATTTGAATTTTAGGTCTATTTTACCCTCAATAGTACACTAATGTTAATGTTAAAATCTACTGTACTATCATAAGTATAGTATAGTATATTTAACACTATTAACATTTTGTTACCAATACCAAATTTTATCAGGTACATCCACAACTCATTTTGAGGAACCATATGAAATGTAAAAGGCATTTTAAAAAAACAGCATATAATTTTCCATGTTTTTACACAATTTTCTATACACAAGATGATCAGTTGTAGAGAAAAGTCTTATGAAATCCAGATTGTAATTCAGATAAAATAGATTAACAAAAATTTTACTTATTGTAGACAGTATTATAATCCCTCTATAATTAGAAGGATTCTTTGGATCCTCTCTTAAAAATCTGCACTATCCATGATGTTTTCCACTCTAATGGTTATTTGTCCAAAGATTGTCATAAAAATTGTTTGTAGCTTCATCCATTGCTTCTCCCTGGCAAACCAGAAGATTTGCCACATTTCAAATATGTTTTAGTTGGTTTTAAGTCAAGATTTGGTGATATGCCAGGATGGCAAACATACGGGCCGGATTCGGCCGTCTAATGAATTTATGACGCCTACGATCAATCTTTCAATATTAGCTATTCAAGTCTGAATAGCCTGATGAAAAATTCTGATGCCTAAAAGAAAAAGTCAACAACTCACTGTGCGTTTAGAATTAACTCTTCATTACAAATCTCTTAAGTACCGCGTAGAATGTTGATAAAGCATGATAATGTGAAAAATGTATCTGTAATCTCTATGTAGAATTTAGTCTCTATGGGGTGACACCACAATGAGATCTCGCACCACCTCATAATCTTCCTAGGGCAGCCTCTGGTTTGGCCCATGAAAAAAGTTTTCTTTCCAATTCGGCCCGGGGGCAAAAACTGTTGGCCACCCCTGTGATATGCCATAATCCAATCCATTCAGTAAATTTTCAAAATGATTTTATATAACTAGTAATCATATCTTACAGTGCTTATATGGAGTATATAAAATGCTTACTATTTTCTCTGAGCATAGTCATACTAGAAATTTGTCAAACTTTGGAAGGTTCAATTTTATAAGAAACTTAGCACTTTTTCTCTTTACACAGTTCTTTGTAATATCATTAAATTTTCATTGATGTGGTTCCTTCTCCACATTCTCAAATTTTTATTTTTTACACATTTATAGTCAAAATTATATTATCGACAGTTTCTAAGATGGTCTTGTACAGTATTAAGGTTTCTCTAATGGGATTCCAGCTGTTTTTTAACATGAAAAATCCTGTAAATTTCTTAAAAGTTTGTTTTTTTCCTATTTTGTGTTAAGGTTGAGGAAATTTTGCAAATAGAAAGTATAATTAACTCATAAACTGTCAGAATACATTTGTATTTATTAATTTTAAGTCTTATTAGTTTTTTAAATTTTTACTTGTTATGGAATATCACAGATTGTTAATAATCAATATGTAGCCTACTTATGGCAGGACTCTGAAAATTCTTTACTTGTCAGAACCTGTATTATCTTGAATAATTGCACTGGTGCTGTCTTCATTTTTAACCATGCCCAGTAGTTTCAATAACTGCATTATACCAGATTGTGCAAATTGGACAAGGATACAAATGAGTATTAATTAAGTATGCAAGTATGAAGTTTTTCTTCATAAACCTGATCATTAAAGCCAAACAAACTGCCAAATTATTGGGCTAAAAGCTTGATATCTCTATTAAAGCAGACGAGGTAGACAAATCAAGAATACTAGGCAGCAAAAGAAGTACTGCAATGCATCTCAAAAACAAATTAGAAATCTTTGAGACTACAGGTGGAAAAAAAAAACATAATGCATTTAAGAGAAGACAGATGTTAAGACAATTCCACATGAACACCCACATCAATTGAATCAGAAAGGGCATTCTCATTTTAGTAATGAAAAGTTCTGCTACTAAGGACCAGATTGAGTGATCATAGTATTGACCATCTTTGCTTTTTAAAATTTTACAAAATATTATTGTAAATTTTTATATTATTGTGTTTTTAAAAATCAAAAATTACCTTCTAAGTTAGAAGTTTGATCTAAGTTTTTTTTTTCTTTCTTTTGTAAGCAGTTTCCAACAAACTAATAAATTTTTTCTATTTGTGAAAATTTCTATGTAATTCAAAGGTATTACATATTTTACACAGCATTATTATTATTATTTTGGAGGTTGCAGAATATATTAAATTACTTAAAAAATGAAAAATAATTAAAAGTGATGTTTCCTGGGATATGGTTTTCTCGAAATCCCAGAACAAGTAAAGGACCAGGAAATGAGAAACCATAAACAGTACACATACAGTATGTAAGTAAATATATAGAATATCTATAGATGGTAAATTGAACAATTTTAATTAGTTCTTTTAGCTCTTCAGCATAACTAATCAAATCCATACTATCATTTCATTTTAATCTTCTGCAAGAAAAATGAAATCTCATCAAGTCATTTTTATCCCAACATTCCTCACAATAAGCCTAGAACATTAATGACATATGATCTGCTTCCATTTGCAATTCCTCTGCATTGATATTGATAAACATAATCAATCAATAACACTTTGTCCTAAATGTGACAAGTGTCAGTTTCCTAGTAGCATTTCCTCTTGTTCTGCTATTTGTTAAGCACAAACCATTATCAATACACAGTTTTAATAACTGAGTTCCTATATTGTTAGTCTTCACATCCTCTGACATTCTGCTTTCATAATATTCAGTCATATACATTAGAAGTTCCTGAACTACTATTAAAATCAATGTTTAAAAATAAACATGTTGCCCTAGACCAGGGATGGCCAACAGTTTTTGCCCCTGGGCCGAATTGGAAAGAAAACTTTTTTCATGGGCCAAACCAGAGGCTGCCCTAGGAAGATTTTGAGGTAGTGTGAGATCTCATTGTAGTGTCACCCTGTACAGACTAAATTGTACATAGAGATTACAGATACATTTTTCACATTATCATGCATTATTATTAACATTCTATGCTGTGCTTAAGACATTTGTAATGGAGTGTTAACTCTGAATGCACAGTGAGTTGTTAACCCCTTTTTTTTTTTTAGGCGTCAGAATTTTTTGTCGAGCTATTCGGACTTGAGTAGCTAATATTGAAAGATTAATCACAGGCCACATAAATTCATTAGACGGGCCGTGTGTTGGCCATGCCTGCCCTAGACTCTTCAGTAACAGGTAATATATCACTAAATATTCAGATATACAGATTTGTGGCAACACAGACAAAAACAAACAGGATTTCTCTCCAACTTGCCAACAAAATATTTTTATTCATTATTATTACTCTTATCTGTTTATCAATCAATTAGTAGCAACAATCAACCTTTGCGTTTCCAATTCTATATCATAATAGTAGTATATGGCTTATCTCTCAATGATTTAAACCTGAGGTAAAAAAAATTTTGCTTTTTCAGCCAGCCATGTTTCCTAGAAACAGAATATCTATAATAAACTATAAATATTTTTCTACTATTTATATTCCAAACAAGAAAAGTGCCATTATCATTTTTTCTGAATATTCAAAATTAATTTAAATACCCTACACTTTTTAAATTTTTGATCCTTATACAAGACAGCACTTAAGTTTCCTTTAAAAAAGAATTCTGTGACATTCCAACTAAACCTTTTCCTTCATAAATAGACTGTTTTGCTACATTTGTTTCA